GTCCAATGGATGATGATCTGATTAGTTGACTAATCGCAAAAATAATCGGTGACTAGTCGACTATCAAAATAATCGTTTGTGGCAGCCCTACATACAGCTGTCTCACATAAATCCCATCAAGAAAATGTAGAATTAGAAGTAACCCCCTTATGGTGTATTCAACACCATATTCTGTTATTATAATAATGTAGCATTGGCCTTTATTACACTGTTTCCAGTAATTAAAACTTAAATGAGTAGATAAGTGATCCACGTCCCTCCAGTGAATAATGTTTTGGTATATGCGTGGTTACAAGTCCGTGTTTACTCATGCTAGACAGATGGCTTGACGATGTGCACAGTTAGCTGAAACTAGAAGGGCCTGTTGTTGATCTGAAAGGGTGGTAATATTTTTGGTGTGGCCTTGTGAGACTGCTAAATTTATATTCTCTGTACAAAAGTCCTCAAAAGCTGCTTACTGTGACCTTACTGTGAGGCCGAGCTAAAAGGGGAAGCCGTGCCAACTGGAGGATCAGTGAAGTGATGAGTGTTTGTTTGTTTTTTTTAATTAATTAATTCGTTTAATTTTAAGCTCTGTATCAAATAGTCTATTTATTTTTTTTGCTGGGGTTCTTTGCTGTATTTCCATGTCTTTCTGCCGTCCTCCCTCCTCCACCACCACCTTGTGATTTGGCCCACTTCAGGACAGTTCTTTGATGTGCCCGTGCAGTTGCTAGGTGACGGCATGATTCCTGTGAATAACAGCGCTGTTCTTTTGTGCTGAACCTGTGTTATGCCCACAATGCTGGCACAATAGGCGGCATATTTTAAGGGCTGTACAAGACTCCTCCTCCTGCTGAGCCAAGGCGTTCTCTGGAATCTTCTCTAAGATTTACAGTTCAGGCTTCTGTTACTGCTAAGAAACTGCTCTGTAGTGTGTGAAGTCTGCTTCTGGGTTCTGTGATTTTTAGGTTTCAGGTATACAGAGAATGAGCTTTTGTCTTTAGCTCTGTCTTTTTCAC